TCTGCAATACACAGATTTGTGATTCCCAGAGAATATCAGGTCATCCCAAAGCTACTTTTGCTGACATTGTCCCATGAGGCTGGAGTGGTCACCTTTTGCCATCATTCTATTACCTAGTCTGGGGTCTAGGCATTCCTTAGCCATCGACTTGAACAGTTGTCAAGGAGGGGTTCACTCAGTCCTCAGACTGGATTAGGCACCCCTTCTCAGTGTGACTACAACATCCTATATCTATAACATGCCACCTGACACAGTGACCCTCCAACTACAATGTTTTGAAGACAGAGAATGCTTCTTATATTTCTACATCACTGCTATTTAGCTCACGAACTGGAGTTACAAAACAAGTGTGAAATGATTAAATAAAATAAACAAAAAACAAAGTCAATGCAATTGGAACAATGTCTGGGGAAATGACTTGAAGAAATATTTAGGAGGTAAACAGGATTTGGTCACTAGCTGGTTTGAGGTTGTTAAGGTTTTGGAGAAAGATAAGGAGGGATCAAGGATGACCCTAGTTTGTTGATGACGGCACAATAGAGTAAATTTGGAGCAGAAAACAGTTTAAAGGGAATATTAATTCTTTCTTTGTGGACATGTTTAGTTTGAGATGCTTATGAGAATTCTCCTGTCTCCTTTGACAGTTAATAAAGTGCTTACACAGACACTCAAAAAACTTCATGAATTAAATTGCTGTTACTAATTTATTAAAAATAGCCATGCTGATAGTTCAATTCTGGGATCTGCTATATAAGCTAACTCTATTTGCATTAGAAATTCTTTATTCTCTAAAACTCATTACTTCAGTTTTTGAGATAGATAAAATTTAAAAGCTTTTTTCATCATTGTATTTCAGAGAAATTTTTAAAGTTTGAAGGAGAAAGAGGAACATGTTAGGCCCATAATAAAGAAGGAAAACATTTCTAAGCCAGGTAAGCTTTTGTTTATTTAATTAAGATTAAATAATGAGTAGACAATGAAGATGAAATAATAATGAAAAATCATCCCTAACAAAGAACTGAAAATTTCTCCTTCTTTCCATGGTATCAGAATCAAAGGGATCCTGTTGGTGTTAGAGCTGGGTGGTGATGCCAGAGGGTTTTTATGACTGACTCAAAAGCTCTAGCCACACCTGCCAGAAAGCATATCATATAAGGGCTGTACAGTTGATTAGACCAATTAATAATCACATAATAACTGGTTGTGGAGTCGCCCCTTCTGCAGGTTTGGGCTGATAATATTTTTGCATCTTTTCCAGGTTTTAGCTTGCTCACAGGAGATGTTTACCATGTAACTAAAGGTACCATCCAAAAGCACTGTTGGGCAAGAGCTACCTGGATCCTGTTTGTTGTCCTGCATAAACATTGGAAAAACAAAATTCCATCTCTACCCATGAAGAGAAACACCTGCTTTGCTCATCAGCAGAAACGTTTTAGTCAAAACTGATGGACACCAGTTGGGAAATCATTTATAGATCAGTGGTGGCAATATATTCTCTCTGGGTGTCCCAATAGATGAAAGAGATGCCCCAAGGCCTTTAATCTCACCTATGGCAGCAAGAGCCCACTGGAGCAGGTTTGTTACGTCTATGATCAAATTCTCACCACAAATCAAAGAGGACACATCAAGTTCTTACTGTCATGATTACACCGATCCTTCTCAAGTGTCTGAATCTACTGTGGGAATGGGTCCATTGAACACCAGAAGACACAAGGCTCCAAACCCCAAATTCTAGGCCCCTAATGCAGCTGATTTTAATCCTTGCTATGACTGTATGATACATTCCTATGTCAGCTCATAAAATGAGCACACAGGAAAAATGATTGCATTAATGAATTTTTACCCTTTAATATGTTTGCACGAGACCAAAAATCTGCTTTTCCTGGCTTGCTACATTTATCATCAAACCATCTTTGCAAGAAGCTTTTGATTTTCTTGATTGTTTAACATAAGCTAACAGTGATTTAAGATGTTGGGTGATGGTTTAGAAAGATTATAAAACATCAGTGTCAGCAGTAGAAACTTCCTTACAGGTGGTACAAATTGTTCAAAAGTTAAGCAACAATTATGCCTAAGTGATGAATGGGTTTAGAGACTTCGTGATGAAGGGAGTCATTTGAGAAAGATGATTTTATCAGCTCTATGTTGTAACTAGAAAGGCAGAAGGCTCCTAGAACTATGTCTGCTCAAATGTGAAAACTTCAAAATGGATAACATTGCTCTAGTGTTAACTGAGACAATTTGGGGGATACCTCTACAGCTTGCCTTCAAGACAGCACATATTAAATATAAGGTTTCAGAAAAACTAATTTGTGCATGAAAATTGCACACAAAAGTTATAAAATCAAATGAGTGAAATAATTTTACCTGACATGCTTAAATCACTATTATGCAAATTAAGAATGGTTTTGATTAGTGATAATTATAAGCCAATATTCTAGTTCTGATGGTTCAGAGCCTTTTTGGCAGTTCTCCAGTTCCATGACTATTAGTTGTCAACTGGCTGATGCTATGGCAGGAGATACATGTAATGGAATCATGTGGGAAGCACATCTTCTGTTTTTAATTGGAGCCATGCTGGAAGTCACTGGAGGACTTCTCCTTTATAGACTTTCAGAGCACTAAAGCTGAGAAAGAAAAACAGATATGCTCCCCCCAATACTAATTAAAGACACACTATGCAAAAATAAATAAATAAATATCTTAAAGGAGACCAAAAAACCAATCTGTATGTCATCTTTCCAAGTCCCCATTTTCTGTGGATTTGGCAACCTTTGGCTTGATTTGGGGGCCAACTGTGATACTGGGCTGGCTCAGCTGCAAGTTCATTGTCTCTTCCCCTTCCGGGCTGCCTGTTCTGGTGTTTCTAAGTCTTGGCTTTTTAAAAATAGGATAGGCACTGGAAGGGTGTTTTATTTTCTTGTGGAAGAAATAAATAGACACATGGTACCCTACAGCTTAAAATCTGTTCTGCAACCACGTGGCCAAGCTCTAAGTTGCTAGATCAAAACGGAAAATGCCACGATCGCTCCTGTGGGTACAGCCGCTCCCTTCTCCGAGATGCAGTTCCATTTGTCATACAAAAATAGAATGTGAGTCCATTAGCAGAACATGCAGAACATGAGTTACTGACTCAATGCAGTGTCAGTAACTTCTGGGTAGTCGTAAAAAAAATCTGAGGACCAAGATGGATTCTGACAGTCATATTAAGGCTGAAAAACAGTCAGAAGGAACCTTTAGTTGTCATCTCACTCATCAGCCTACTATTGAGTGCATTCTAGCTTACAAAGGAGGCCGTTCCAGAAAGAATGAGTGAGTCAATATCTGACAGGATGATCAAATGAGACACTCTCCATCGCAGGTTCAGCTGAAGGTCCTGAGATCTAGATCAAATCACAGTAGCCAAGCGACTTCAAATTCCTAAGCAATGTCTGGATAATATATGCAAAACTTGGAAAAGCAGCAGCCAGTTTTGCAAACCCTTGTCTCATTCAAAGAGTTGAGAAATGAAGGTGAAGGAAGAGAGAGAATTTTTATGTGAGACGTTTTCCAAATGCTTTGTGGTCTTCCTCCCTTTTGAGGAGTTGCTTCACCATTGCTTTAAGAGGGAGCTTCAGGAGATCAACTTTGAGAGGTAAATGTATGTCCTTTGGGGCTTGGGGAGTGTTAGACACTGTGGCCAAAATTCACCTTTCAGTTGGCAGAGCAAGAATGAGAGCGAGAGCAAGACAGAGAGAGGAAAAAGGAAGGGCTGCACTGGAAGCTAACTGCATTTCTAGCAACAGCAGAGCAAGGATGCAGGAGTGTTTCTTGTGGAAGAAATGAGGGCAACTAAGTAAGGCCAGCCCAGTGCTATTTTGAGTATTTTCCAAGAAGATGCCTGGACGGGCAATATGACCCCGACAGAGGGATGGACAATTAGAAACCAAGGGGCCAAGGGAGGAATGCAGCAGCAAGAGGTATTGCCTCTATCAAAGGCGCTATGTTCAGAGGGCCCCGGTGGGAGGTGTCTTCAAGGAAGTCCACAAAAGCACCCTGAAAAGAAGGAATTTGCATCCTCTCCCCAGAGGACACATGGATGGTTATGCTTATGCCCATCAAGTAAGACTTTTGTTGCCCTTAACGTCTCCTCCCTAACCTGACCCAATGAAGCCCCGGAGAGAGAAGAATGACAAAGCAAGATGGAAAAATAGAAAAAAAGCCTCCTGCTCCCTTTCTTCTACTTCGGGCTTTTGAGGCTGAGGCACGTCTGAGCTGGAGGAAGGAAATACCTTTATGTGGTTATAACAGAGGCCTGGGCAATTTTAATACTGAAATGATATTCTTCTTATGCCTGAAAGTGATTGGAGACCTTTTACTATCTGAAAGTGGTTTTAAAATCATGGGACTTATCAAGATTTTAGTCAAGTGGTAGGAAGGAGATAATCCTCAGAAGGGTTTGAGGGACAAGGGGAAAAGGGTAAAATTATTTTCTTCTGTCACCTTATCAGCTTAAACTATTTAATTACTGGCTACAAATAAAATCATTTTCACCACTGAGGGGGGGAAAACTACTCAAAAACAGCCCCCCCCCCCGTTATGCATTGACTAAACCAAAGGAGGAAGCTCATTCGTTAGTTTTGCACATTCAATAGTCTGGATTTCCAAGCTGCCGCCACTAAAGACATTCGCCACTTTCTTTGGACACAATTTCTGACAAGGAGGCTTGGAGTCTCTTAGACAAGGCAGGTGTTCTCTATGTTTCCATCTTCCTGCTTGCGTTGGCCAGTGGTCCCAGTTTTCAAGTGTCTGCATAAACACTTATTTTTTAAACACCAAATTCGTAGAGCCTTGAGTTGGGATTGCTACATGCTTTTGTTGCATGATGATGAATATATCATTTAATCTCCTCCTGACATAGTTTGTTAATGTAAAATAAGACCGACAATGCAAATAAAGATACAAGGAGAAATTACAAAAGAAATCAAATGCTACAAAAATCAGAGAGCCAAAATAAATACCTCGTGGAAGTGACATCCACAGGTCCCCTGTAAAAACTCTTTGTATCGACCCATTGTTATAGCAAATGTGTCAAGCACTTCATAGCCATATTTTTTTGCAGCATCCAGAATAATCAAATTTTCTTTCCATAAGTTCTGAACTTCACTCTGTATTGCAAAACAGAAGAATGAACATTTTTGTTAAAAGGATTGTTTTATGATTTAATAACTCAGGTGGAAATCATGTAAATTCCCGTGGGTTTTTTTTTACAAATTGGTCCTATTTTGATATAAAAAATTAATTTCATGTACATTTCTTAAATAAAAATGTGTTCCAATTTCTTTATCCAAAATATAAATATAATATGAATATATATATATAAAACAGCAATACATAAATATCTATAGTGACACACAGTTTGGGACTTTCCCTTCTGTGAAAAGTATTTAGGTTTATTGCCCACAAAGATCCATTGAAATATCTGAAATTCTCAACTTTGAAGCCAAGATTTGAAAATTACAGATGTCTCCATCTATTGGGATTCTTGTTCATTCATTTAGTGATTTGGTTATTAATCAGTATCTCTTTTGTGCTTTGCTCTGTGCTGAGGGACAGGAATATGGGGGTAAATAAATCATGGTCCCTGCTCTTAAGACATGGCATTCTAATAGGAGAAACAAATACGTAAACTTTTACTAAGTCCTTTATTTTGGGTAAATATACCAGGCTCTGGGTTAATAGGGAAAAGGAAGTAGCTCTGCCAGGTGCAAGGGCTACAGTGAGGCTTCAAGGGGGTTTTGAGCAGAGGGAGGTTTGCCGTGGGTTGGGAGTGGGGACAGAGAGAAGGGGAGTGTGCTTAAAGGAGCAGCAGAACTGAGTGAAGACTCCAGCTGCTGCTTCTCTGCATCGTAACCCTCCCTCCATGTCTAAAGTAGCAACCGTGCTAGGCGGGGAGTTCTAGTTCAGGTCCCCTGTCCAGAGGACGGACTCCTCCACTGACTACTTTAGCTCTAGGACTTCTCATCAGCTTGGCCAAGACTTTTCAGACTGATCTGCCATCTGAGACTTCTTATGTAATCCATCCTTCTTCCGCTCCCTTCATATCGGACACATTCCAGCCAAACACAGGTCCCAGTACATAGTAGACATTCAAAGAATATTTGGTGCAAGATTGAGTGATATGCATTGGGCACTGTGGTCTGATGCTCACATACAGAATATCACTCACTCCTTCACACAGAAGATGTATTTTGAGTCTACCATGTGTTTTGCATTCGGTGTACCAGAATCAGCAACGCAGCCCTTCCTGCCTGATTCTTTTTTTCTTTTTAAAGATATTTATTGGGAAATTGGGGGATGGGAACAGTGCTGGGGAATTGGGGGAAGGGGAACAGAAAAGTTGCTGTCCTTTTGTTCCTCAGTCTTAGTTGTGGAGGACGTTGCTTCGCTGGCCCAAGTTGGCACCATCATTGTGCTCTTCCCGGGTGAGGCAGATCAGTAGCCGGTTTGAGGGCCACTCACACTGGCTGCTGGCTACACACGGTAACCCATGGCAACCCACTGCGGCAGGGGCTGCAGCCTATGCCGTCCCCAGCGACTCACCGCAACCCAGCTCCAGGGTGAGCTGTTGTTCAGCATCTTAGCGGTAGAGGGCAGTGTCACTGGCTCTCATATGTGGGATCCGAACCGGGGCCCTCTGGCGTCCCAAGCCAGTTCTTAACCATCGCGCCACTCGGCCAGCCCTCCTGCCTGGTTCTTATTCTCACAGAGGTTATTCTAGCAGGTGACACAGACAACCAATGACCACATCTGTTGTGTGACATGAATGGGGCCATAAGACCCTCTTATAGGAGCTCATACCAGGAAGAGACAATCAAGTGTGGTGTGTCAATTACGTCTTCCCAGAAGAAACAGCATTTAAACTAACACTTGAAGGGTACTTGGAAGTTACCTTCGTGGGGAGGTAGTGGGAAACTGGGCCCTAAGAAGAGTGAATGGTGATTTCAAAGACCTGAAGGTGACTGAATGCATGACATGCTTGGGAAGCTAAAACACACTCAGCATGACGGAGCTCGGTGGTGCTAGTGGTGGTGGCAGTGGTGGCAGCATTGTATGTGTGTGTGTGTGTGTGTGTGTGTGTGTGTGTGTGTGTGTGTTCCCATGTGTGCATATGCACTGGTAGTAAAGATTAGTCTTCAGAGGAAAGCAGAGGCCAAGTATTGAATGGCCGACCATGCGAGCATATGTTCCTGCCTCCAGTTGTAATTATCCTTTTCTGTTTTATTCTATTGTTTCTTCCCACCCTTGTCTTCCCTTCTGTCTTCACTCAGTTTGAAAGGACAGATGAGCACCACCTAAGCCCAGGGGGTAGGCATAATGTTTAAACCAATGTCTGGTACATAGTAGGTGCTGGTGAATGGTTTGCTGTCTGCTGAGGTGAATTGATTCTGAGTTAGTGACCTAAATATAAGGAGGGGCCAGAAGGACTCGGTTCCTGTGAGGAGCCACAGTCAGAGAAGCAAAGTGGAGCTACCAGATTCTTTAAGAAGGAATTGCAACCTTGACCTGCAGCCTTCAAGTAACATTAAAGGAGATTCAACTCATAACCCACTGAAAAAATGATCAAAGGACTGTTCCTCTAATCCCTAAAAGTGTCAAGCCATTCAGCTACCCCACATGCTAAATACCTCAACTCCTTAACCCCTCCTAACTCCACAAGATTGAATTTGGAAGTTTTACTTGGGCCACTTTCTACCAGCTCTCCTGCTTTTGCAACACAGATATGGTGCCCATGCAGGCAAAGTTTCAAGAAAGGAGAAAGAGGTCGTAGAATGCTGGGGAAAACTAGGAGCATTCAACACTGACAAAAAACTAAATCTCATATTAAATGGACAGCTTCCTGTCTCCCCAGTTCCCAGAGCTCCCCAAGCTCTCCTGGGCAATGGCATACACAGACCCAGCCGCCATGAACTCTCCTCCCTTGAATAGGAGCAGCTGGTTCCCTTACCTACAGGTGTTTGCCCTTCTGTTCTTTTCTGAGACTTCTATTCAGTATTGAGACTAATTTCCTATCTTCCTTAAGAACTGGTCAGAAGCCTCTAACTCCTCCCACTTATAAATATCCAATCAGAGGGAAAACTAATGATGCTACTTCAAAGACAATTTTTAAAGCAACCAGTCAGAAATCATCAAAAAGTCACTCTTCCCCCAAGTACTCATTGATACTGGCAATTTCATTGTGGTTTCAGCGTGAGTTTTTCTTTAAAGGTGTATGAAACATTAGTGGGCTCCAGAGGTCCTTAAAGCTTAATCTGTCTCATTTATCCTCCGTTCTTTATTTCTTCACAGTTTGGCAGACCCTTTCCTCTTTTATGAACTCAAAGCATTATTTGCAACATACTTATGGTTTATGGTTTCCTTATCTCTAGGAATAATTATAACTTATTTGAAATTATAATCCATACGTACATTATCTCCTTTGATTTTTATGAAGGTTGCTGAATATTACGTGGTGCCTTTTGGGTCCGTTTTCAGACACCAGCAAAGATCGTTACAGGAAGCAGAAAGGTCACATACCCTGGAGGAGGTGGGCTTACCTGTGTTAAGAAATGTACTCCATCCACTGGCAGATGAAATCCGATCCCCAAAGTTTTGATGATCACAAGGACATTGAGTAAATTTTCCCTGTGAAATAATCAGAATTCTAAAGTCATGGACTCCAATTACATTTCTAGATGTTTGTGTTACATAAGCAAATACAGTGGAATTCTTTCAGAGTGTGATAACTGGCAGACAGGACTAAATTCTTGTTTTATAGATTTGATGTATATTAGTTTTTTTGTGTGTGGATAGAGTTTTATGTGCTAGTGGGCATGTTTTGATCTGTAGGAAATGTAAATTTGGATACTGAACCTTGAGACTGGATACAAAAGTGTTTCGAAATTTTAAAAATTAGACTTTAAGTACTTAATTCTAAACAACACATTGCTCTTTAAAAACATATTGATAAAATTCAGTCACATTAAGATTGTTTTTTTTTTTACTTAGAATATAATGACAATCATTGTTGCAGAAATGTACCTCTTCAAAACCTTGTGAATAATTTGCAGGTGATTGGAATTAAGCCACTGAACACCACCAACGACCAATACGGTCTGGCGCGTATTCTCCAGGGGACGTGATCTGAAATCCAGAAAGAAAAACAACACATGTTGCTTTGAAACAGATGGTAAACATTTTAACAGCATTGCCTCACATTTCATTGAACCATATCTGGCATCCTGATCACAGGACCCCCTTGTCATATCCAACTCGTTTGCAGCCATATTACTTGGGATTTAAGCTTTTCAGCACACTTGATATACAGTGAGCAATTATGACCGCCAGTAAAACCTCAGTATGTTGTGCTGTTCATAATAGTTCCATTGTACCTTTGCAAGAGATGTTCAAGTGCTTTTTCAAACGTGGGTCTCATTGAAGGGTTTATCCAGAACTGGGGATAGTAGGAATAACTGATCAAAGTCTTCCCATCATTGACATTGCGATAGATTTTAGTGCCATGCACCTTCTGCCATTCCTGCAAGGTTTCGTTCAGCCTTTCAATCAGGTAGTACATTATCCCTCTGTTTGTTGAATCTCCAATGAAAAGAATCTATAAGTCAAAGAAGAAAATATTTGCTTTCAAATCTGTTTACACAGGATAAGAGATAATATAAGAAATGTGTTGCATATTCATAAAGCCACAAATGTAATTGTTTGAAGGACGGCCCTTTAAACTGTTAGAAATGACACTCATTGTATTCTTCCCAAAGCTTTAGTTCCCTCTCCTCCATATTCCTAGAAATGACACACTAACTTATGTTTAAAGCTTTTTGCTTCCTGTTATCTTCAATTTCTCTATCTCCTTTATGCTCTTTTATTTTCTCATCTAATCAACTTAACAAGTTTTATTGATTCAAATAGGCATGAAGTGTTTTAGTGTTGTAAGAATAGGTATTTTCCAATCTCTTTATTTTATAGATGAGAAAACTTGGAATCTATAGAGGTTACGTAGCTCAGTAGAGGTCATGCTATTACTTGAGAAAAGAGCCACAGGACTGGGATCTGATTCTCTGAATGGCAGTCTGTGTCCCAGGGTGCAAATCCCAATGTCATTGGTCCTGGAGCCTTTCACACCCATCACCGCCTTCCCATTCCCCCAGCACAGCCCTGCTTAGGTTCTCAGTGTTTCAGAGCTGTGCTGTTGTTAATACTCTCCTAATGGGTCTTCCTTCTCGCATAATGGCTGCCCTCTAGTTCATGCTGCACACAGTATGACTGGGATACACTTCCAAATGTCTAGCTCTGGTCATCTTACTTTCATGCTCAGGAATTTTATTGGCTCCTGTGTTCCACAGCATCAAGTCTAAACTCCTTAGGTTCAGGTAACATTTGCTGACTTTTTATCATAGATCACCCTTTGCTAGGTAATTTCGCACTGGGTACTCACTTTTCATCTTCCTAATTGTGAGGTTTGAATCATTCTTTCTGTTTCAAGAATGAGCAATCTGAGGCTCAGGGAGATTGAAGTCATAAGTCTAGTAAGTGGGGAACACAACACTCAAATCCAGGCCCTTTACCTCCAAGTGCAGGGTCAATGGACCATCCTCCCAATGTTTCCTCTCACGTCAGCAGGTCAGAGTCCTACTTTTTCACTGAACATGATTTGCATTCAACATCTGTTTTTCCTTGTGCTAATCTGGCTGCCTAGAAAGCGCCTCCCTTGCAACCCCACCTGTGTAAATGCTACACAACCTCCAGACCTGACACAAATGTGTCTCCCACAGGGTCTGGTCCAAAGCCCCAGCCAGAATGACCTTCTCTGTCCTCTCATTTCATTATATTTTTTATTTCCGTTACAGATTTTATCGAACACTACATGAAATGGCTATTTGTGTCTGTGCCTTTTTTTTCTTATATCATATAAAGAAGTATTTGAGGTCAAAGTCAGGGTTAATTTCTGAATTCGAATTTCCCCCATAGTACCATGAATACACTTTAAAAATATTTATTGAATTGCAAGTCAAAGGGACTTTGTTAGAAACAATCCCTTTTAATGTCTTTGGATAAGGTTTGTTCTTTAGTTGTTGTTTTTTTTTTCCCTTTGTTGAGATTTCTGTTTCCATTAGTCATGCACATACTTCCTTCTGGTTTTAACAGCAGTCATTGCCATATTTTCGCAGGCACTACTGCTTTTGTTCATTCACAGAAAATGTCATGAGAATGTGCGAAGGTTTATTCTTTCCACAGTGAGTGTATTCAAGGAGCTGTTTGGAGAAATCCAGAAAGCAACTCCAATTTGCCTTCAGGTCAAATACTGTCACCACAAACATCGTCAAGCCAAAGTGAATAACGTAAGTTATAAAGGCCCCAATCACTCGTCCTCTCAGTAGAGTTCCATTTGGTGCAATAAAATTCCAGAATAAGAAAATAATTTGTGAAATCACTTGAAATACTTCTTACTGAGTTTGATCTATAACTATTTCTGATTTTTCAAAGAGAACTTAGAAGAACCAGGAAAGTTCTTAATTTTAGATACTACTAATGATCCATTTGTATGAGTTTGCTAAGGCTGCCATAACAATATACCACAGATTAGGTGATTAGAACAACAGATATTTATTTCTCATGATGCTGGAGGCTAGAAGTCCGAGATTAATGTATTTGTATGGTTGGTTTCTTCTGAGAACGTTTTTCCTTGATATGTAGATGCCACCTTTTCCCTGTGTCATCACGTGGTCTTTGCTCTGTGTGAGTCTGTGTCCTAGTCTTCTCTTCTCATAAGGACACCAGCCATATTGTATTAGGGCCCTCCCATATAATCTTATTTTACTTTAATTACCTCTTTAAGGTCCCTACCTCCAAATATAGCTACATTCAGAAGTACTGGGACTTAGGACTTCCAACATATGATTTTGATTGGGTAGGAACACAGTTCAGCTCTTAATATCTATAAAGGACCTTTGAGGTCCAGCTTTCAAACTAACTTGCCACTAAAGGTTTTTCTTACAGGTTCTTTTATTTCAGCATCAAGATGCAATCCCTCCTAGGCTATCTCCAGGCAATCAGTAAGATCAGTGGCTGTCTGTATTGTGGGTGACAGAGAGAGATACAGAGGTTTAAAAAAGTCAAAGTAGCTGTATGTTACTGAGAGGAAAAAAAAATTCTAGATTTCCAGTCTTTTCTGTGGGTTATACAAAGATGCAGTTCACCAACGCATATCAGAGGCAAAAGTTGTGCTTCAGAATTCCAGGTACTGTTATTTTTTAACTAGATCGTCTTAGACAAATTATATGACCCCTCCAAGGTTTCAATCCCTTATATGTAAAATACCATGGGAAAAATAACAGTGCCACCTTGGAGGATTCAATTCAATTTATCTTTTTATTTTTATTTATTTTTTTTACTATTTCCATGATAGGTAGGGTTTATTTTTTCTTTATTTATTTTTAAAATTTTTTTTAATTAAAATTTATCAGGGTGACATTGGATAGTAAAATTACATAGGTTTCAAGTATACAATTCTGTAATCCATAATCTATATATGACATTGTGTTCACCACCCAGAGTCCATTCTCCTTCCATCACCATGTACAAAGATTTGACCCCATTTACCCTCATTTACCAATACAATTTTAAATGCTTATTCCTGGCACACAGTATGCCGCAGTGAATGTGGGCTGGCATTACAGCACAGGAAAAGACAAGCAGTGGTTTTGGGTGCTTCCAGTGTGCCCTGCACTGCATTGCTAGGCACCTGAAATTCACTAGCTCAGTTAGAGAACTGTCAGAGCAGACAGGACATGTTCTAAATGGCAGCAGCCTCTTTCTTGCCCTACCAACCCTGAAACTGATGCACAGCAGAACTTGGAGGGTTGCTGGTGAAACTGACGCTCTGGATGGAGACGTGGATGAGTGATCACCACCCTGAGGAAACCAACATGCAGAACAGCCTATCAAGTTTCCACTGCAGGTTAGTGACTAAGAGCAGCGACACGGAAAGGAGACAGAAGTGTCCCCACCATCATCTGCAAATCGAGTTCTTCTAAACTGCAAGGACCTAAATAGCATTTTTCAAGTCCAGCTGACACAGCTCTGGGAAGACTATTTTTTAGAGAATGATCTTATCCCAGTGCTATCCAATTCATGAAAGATAGAAATGATAAATTATAGCTAAAATGAAAATGCAGTTGTAATTTTAAGACTGCTTGTTCGTAGGTGACACAGTTTTTGTAACAGATTAATTGGTATTCCTAACTAAATAATGTCTAACTTCAAAATGTCAGCTTTTCAGTTAACACCCGCGATTAAACAATCATATCAGGAATTAGAGTGATTATTTTCAGTCACCATCATTCATATTCAATCTTTGAATCTTTCAGATCATTCAATTTAGTGAATTTTTTAAACGGAAATGTATAGGTCAATTTCTACTTTAAAAGGTCTAAATCACCGTAACAAATATTCATAACTAGCCATGCAATTTATAAATAACTCTTTTCTCTCCTGTGAAAATTTTGCCTTGTATTAGCATACACAGGTGTTGGTTAGTACATGCAATCAAAGAAAGAAAATGTGATCATGAAAAACAAATAACCAGTAAGCAATTATAAAATAATCTGTTAGCAATAAAACATTTTTTAAAAACTAGTTTTTTTCTCTTATCAAAGCAGCTAAGATTTTTAGAGCCCCAACAAAACTATGAGTTCAGGGAAATGGACTCTCTCATGTATTACTGTGTAAGCATCACGAGGGAAAGTTTTTGTCCTTTTTTTATGAACAAGTGTCCAGAACCAAAGTCAGTTCTCATGTGTCACATGGATGAATGGTAGCTTTGTTGTTGTATGTATAAATTGGCAATTTTTAAGGAAATTCCACTTATACAAAATACTTAAGAACATCTAATAAAATGTATTTCAAAAGAAAAATAAATTTGAAGCAGCATCAATGTTTATTAGATTGGTTATATTATGTTATTATTATATACAAATTCTTTTCATCCTTTAACAGTGATATTATAATATGGATATATTATAATGGGGAAGATTTCACAGTTTTTATAGAAAGCTGATTATAATCAGAATAAATAATAATTCATTTTTGGAAAGGAAAGCATGTGGATATATAGAAAAGATTCTGGAAAGTTAATGGTGGGTATTTGAAGTGGTGATATGATAGTTTATTTTTTGAAGTAAAAATCTGCAAGATTTTATTTGGAAGGTTTCACAAATTCAATTTTTAACATCTTTCTATTTTACTTTTTCCTTATAATTATGTAATGTAAGGAAAATATTTTTAACCAAACCTCATGAAGATGCCCCCAAAAGCCAATCCAGCTTACCCCCAATGTGCCATGTAAATATTACCATACTTTATATATGGACTATGACATGAAAAAGTTGGAACGGACTATTCTACCAAGAATTATTTCACATCCCTTTTTCTTTCTGGCAGAACTCGTTTTTCACCATGGATGATACAAATGACAAAAATGTTTTCCCATAGGTTTTGCCAAGGGAGGAATCATGTGGCCCATTCTTGGCCAATGAGATGTGAGAGGAAGATTCCTGGGGACTTGAAGGAAAGCTACGCCTTCTTAAGAAAAAACAAGCT